AGTGTGTGTGTGTGTGTGTGTGTGTGTGTGTGTGTGTGTGTAGGCTGTGCAGAGGGCTACGCCAGGGACGCCACAGAGATCCAGAATATCCAGATAGCAGAGGGTGACGTGTGTCACGGGCTCTCCATCCCCATCTACATGGTGTTCCCCAGACTCTTCACCTGCCCCACGCTCGAGACCACCAACTTCAAAGTGGGTGAGCAGATCCAGCAGAGCAGGTCAGGCCCGGTGCAGGTGTAAGCTGAGCTGCTCTTATTGGCTCCACTGAGTGCACGAGTCCGACACGGCCTCTCTGAGATATGCAGTCTCAGCTTGCATCATCAAGGCTGTGTGCAGACACTATTGCAGAGAACACACACACACACACACACACACTCATGCAGACCTGGAGCGTTAGCATTAGCTGTTATGCCCTTTCAGCTAATGGTTTTCTGCTGGTCTCCTATTGGCTGCGGTGTACTGTCCTCTCCTGATCCTCCAATCAGCACGCAGAGCTGCAGCATGCCGCTGTCATTCAGTAAATCAGCTATTCTGTGGACCGGTCTGAGACGTCACAGGTCCGAGATCAGTTTCTGACGTGCTGCAGGGCATGATGGGAAACATTGGTTTGGTGTTCTGAGGCGCAGCTCATCTATTAGAGCAGAACACCCCCTGGTGGAGAATCCCCACAGTGCAGCAGCCTCCACCGCCCTCAGTGATATCTGTGCAGGAGTGAGGAGGAGCTGCTCTACTGTGCAGCGCTGATGGACACGCTGCTCTACTCACTGATCATTTACTAGATATTCCAGTTCTGCACACAGATGTAATGCACATCTTTACCTCAGGTCAAACTGCAGCTGAACACAACACCAATATCCAATAGTAGTCCAATATAGTCCAATATATCTGAGTTAGTAACTACAGAAGCTTCACTGCTTCATTAGTCAGGAGATGTGAAGCTGAACACTGCTTCAGTAGAGCAGCGCTGTGTGTCAGAACTCTAGTGGAGCAGCCGGTTACACACTATTGAGTGATCAGGCTCACGGCTGCGAGTGTGAGTGTACACGCCACCAGCAGAGGGCAGCGGTTACCTTCAGACCCTCTCTGTGTGTGTGTGTGTGTGTGTGTTCAGCATGAGGCCCCTCACAGATCTCTCAGTAGTCGTATTCTCTACAGCAGATTGTAGCTCCATTACAGCTGCAAGGATGTTTCTAGAAAGCCCAGTGAGAGCCTGATGAGCTGGCCCAGGTGTGTCTGATCAGGGTTGGAGCTGAACTGTGCAGGACACCGGGCCTCCAGAACCCAGTGTGGACACCCCTACAGCAATATATCAGTGCAGAGATCAGATCAGTACCAAAGACAGACCTGATCAACCTGTCCAACATCATGAACACGACGAGTATTAGAGAAGACAATCAGGGAAATCGAGAGAAACGGGTTGGTTTTTGTCTGCAGGAGCTGCTTTAGATGTTCTCTGTGCATTTCCTACATCAGTGAGTAAACTCTGACACTAATGGCTGTAATAACGCTGATCTGTTCAAATGTACAATAATATACTGGCGTCTACTCTCACTGCCTCCATTTCTCAAACGTTGATCTTTAACAGTGTGTGTGTGTGTGTGTGTGTGTTGCAGAGTTCGAGGTCAACATCGTGATCGTCCTCCACGATGATCATCTGATCACAGAAAACTTCCCCCTGAAGCTGCTGCGGCTGTGATGCGGATCCTCCGTCTCGGATGATTCAGTCTGGATCTGCAGCTCATCTCTCCTCATCTAGATCATGTTCCCCCTCAGCATCACTGATCTCCGTCACACAGGAGAATCCCTCATCCATGAAGCCACAGCGTCAGTGAACTCTCTGCGCCTCCTGCTGCAGAGCCGCGCGGCCAATGATGACCGACTCTCCTCCTCATCTTCCCCTGAGCGGGGTTTCAGGTGTTTCTCCACAGCAGTGAACACGGAGCGCTTCAGCTGAAGATCAGCACTCACCAGAGAATAATCAGCGTATGATGATGATCAGCACTCTGCTGTGTGTGTGTGTGTGTGTGTGTGTTGCTTTGGCACAAATAAAAGTGTGTTTCATTCATCTGGCCCGTTTCTGAGCGCACACACACACACGCACGCACGCACGCACGCACGCACACACACACACACACACACACACACACACACACACTCACACTCACTCATCAGGAATACACTGACCCTATAGTGAACATGTGGTGTGTGTAGATGTACATGTTTGACACACACACACACACACACACAGGTTGGTCTAAACAGTTTAATGCTGTAAAACAGGAGGGTAAAACACGAGCAGAAGGTAAAAGTGTGAGTAAAATCAGCAGCAGCAGCTTTATTACAGGAGCGAGCAGCACGCATCTGATTGGTCCACACAGCTGACCACTGAAACACTCCGCCTGTGTGCGTGCGCGCGTGTGTGTGTGTATTACAGTGGTGTTCAGCTGGACGTGTTTACAGGAGTGTGTTAGACTGGATTTTGTCTGGTGGTGTGTGTGTG